TGTCAGTCTCAGAACAGATTCAGTCATAGTGTCCGGCCCCGGCGAATCAATGCACATCTCGCTCCTCTCTATAGAAGGATTATGAGACACAGACACACAGTCACTCACCCCCGGGGGTAGCGCGGTGCGACGGCAGCGCCGACGCCGGTTCTTTCTGGAAGTGGGTACGATGGATGCTGAAGCCACCGAAGCAGAGGGTGATGTGGCGGCGATCTCCTCGTCGTCCGCCCACATCCTTGCCAGAAAAGAGGCAGGTGAAGTAAAGTCCGAGCGGGGTGGAGAGGGCGAGCGGCTGGTCCGAGGCGGTGCAACAGGTGTGAGTTCCTCCTCCGAAATGAGCCAGGGCTTCCAACGAAGCTCGTCCTCGCGTAAAGCTGGCAATACCTGCTGTCGCTCATCGTCGTCGAAATCTGTGGCCTCCACCATCTTGGTGCGCTGGGCTGTGCAGCTTGACAGTGGCGGAGACGAACTGTGAGTCGATGGCGGTGCAGCGGTGAGCCTCAGAGTCCCTACTCTGACTGCCTCAAAAAGCTGGGGAAACTGCCGGAGCTGTGGCGCCTTCTGAAGGATGGCGTCAATGGCCGCCAACCCAGTGGACACCACTCTGGGGTCCGTGCACCCACAGATGCGCGTCATGAGCCGGCTGATCCGTTGCAGCTCCTCCCCAATCTCGTCGGACTGTCCACTGGGTCTGACATGGTCAGATCGTACTGTCATGGCGGGGCGCGCGGTGTGAAGAATGAGGTAGACCCAAGAGCAGACACAGTGGAGACAGAACTAGGTTTCCAAAATAAGGCAAGCCTTTATTGTGGCTGAAGGCATAACAAAAACACTAGGGAACACTGAAACTGGGAAAACTAAGAAGACAGAGAACACTGTGTAAACTAAAAAGGCTAAGACACTCTGTGAAGGAACTATGGAAAAAACTATAAACACAGAGTAACTAAGCAGGCTATGAAACACAGTGTCACAATAAGGGAAACTACGAAAATACGAGGTGAGGATAACAGACGAATCTGACACTGACACAAAGACACACTGGGCTTAAATACACTGAGGAAGTCATCAAGGAATTAGAGACAGAAGGGGAACACAGCTGGGAGGAATAAGACCTAATGAGACAGGGGGAACAAAGCTAGAAACACTGACATAAGACGGGAACATGAACCTTCAGAGTAAAACAGGAAACAAGACACCACTAAACAAACACGCAGACACGACACAGAGAGAAGACTAGACACTGAACTAAACCTGCAATAAACATGAGAACACAAAAACCTACGAACTAATCCCTAAACAAGAATAACCGAAACATAGAGTCATAATCATCATTATCATCATAATAAGAAAAGAATCCAAAATGCAAAAACACACCAAAAACATAACAACTCAAAATACTGGGTCAAACTGACCCAGAACCGTGACACCACTGGCAGCTGCATTCAAAGGGAATATTTACTCATCGTTTCAATGTCAAAATTCATGAAAGCAAAGACTTTTTTAGGTGAACAAATAAATAGTTAAAACTGCTCTAAAGTAAAAGAACTGAAAAGCTATAAATAAAAACTCATGATCAGTGCCTCCATTGTGTATCTCTGGGGTTACGAGACACATGTCTGCAACATCAGTAATCACATTTTATGAGTAGTATTTAATAAACACTAAGTATTACAAAAGGAGACAAATGGAGATTATTCACATCTACCTTTATCGTTACCAGAAAAAACTCTAATGTAGTTAAGATCTATAGTTTGGCTTCATCCTAAAAAACACACACAGAATAATATCACTGAGGAGGTGAGGAGAGAGGTACAGCAGTGAGTGTCTACAGCCGCAGCCTGTAAAGGTAACATCTAAAGAAGAAGTTTGACTGTTTTTCAAGCTTATGTTAAATATGACCAGCGGTTAAAGTGGGCTGGAAGGATCCTGAACTGTATTCTGGTTCCCTCGATTAATGAGCAATTAAATCTTATAGGCAGATGAATGTGTGTTACTACAATCTAAAATTTAATTGTAGGAAAGTTTTCAGGTAACTCAATACTACTGCCCTAGTACCTGCACTTTGTTGTAGTTTTATTGTATCATAAAGGTCCTTCTTGGCAAAGTGGAACCTTTAGATCAGATCTTAAAATGTGAGCTCTCCACTCTCCTTTTTTTATAACAGTAAAGCCTCATCAAAATGAGTAGGAGGCCAACATAGAGTCACTAAAGACCTCTGTCTATACAAACCACGGTCAGACATGTCATTTTAAAAATAATTTAAATAAAACCACTGAAAGGCTATAAAAAGATAGAAATGCACCTCCAACTGTCAATTTTCATTGTCAGAAATGTTATTTTAAAAAACTTAAACCAATAAGGTGGGAGTTAAGATGAAAGCTGGAAGATGAAGAACGTTTTAAGGCTGAACTTCACATTTTAGGGTAGAAAGCGACACAAACCCCCCACATGAGTGTCAAATATCTGCAGGACAGCCTAGCTGGCACAGCAGTGGTTATGATCTGGTTTAGTTTAAAAGTCTATTTACTGCAATCTTTTTGTTTTGTTTGGTTTATTTAAAAATTGTAACAGACACAAGGGCATTTAAACATTTGTACAAGCTGTAAATAAAGTGGCAAAGTAAAAACAAAAATTAAAGATTAATTGTATTTTTTTTCCCTCTATTTTTAAAATGTGCTTCTTTTACCTTATTTTTATGTAAAAAGGGGGGCCTTTGTTTTTTCTTTTTTTGTCTGTGCATCACATTTTCTTTTTTGTAGTTGCTCGTGCCTTGCATGCCTCAGTTGCAGTGTTTCTTCTTCATTGTTCACTTGTTTATTTAGACATGTATAGAGTGATTAAGTGTATAACTCTTACAGTTACATAGACGGTCTTTCTTTTTTATTGACTCTGAACAGGCCGGCCACAATCACTTCATTTATATGTGTTCACTGCAATAAAAAGTGTGCACAAGGTTTGTTTTGGATTTGTTTACTGAGAATGATCGCACACTTCTATTTCCTCTTCCTGGTATAGTAACCTTTTCTGTTAAGCATTTTGCTGATGATGTGATTTTATAATATAATAAATCAATAAATACTCAGACAAACAAACAGTGAAGTTCTCTGGAAAAGGCCAGAGCTCAACACGTGTCAATAAGTAGTTAAGTGATGTCTTTGAGTTGTGGATAATTTTACCCAAACACATTTGAATGAGTTTTGCAAAAAAAGACTAAAAGTTCAACGATGATCTCATAAATAAATAATATGTCTGTCCTGAGGCTTTTGTTAGAAATGAGGTAAGCTAACTAACACTAGGAAAGACAAGCAGTTTCATTCATATGGACTTCACTATGAGTTTAATTTCCAGCTGTTTTGCTTTTCTTTTTTGAAAAGCAGAGCTTACTTATACTGGACCCATCCTACTGTCTCTTTCTCCTGCTGAGGTCCATTTCTAGGCTCAGCATCAGCTGGGAGCACGTGCACCTGGACCAAACCAAAACATGAAATAAGGAGGGGGGAGGCTGACTGGATATTATTGTTGTTGCCAAAAACAAAGCTACATTAATCATCCTCTCTGTTGTAGCTCAGGTCTGTTTTTTGATACTGCAATTATTCAGATTAATATTAATAAGATGTGAACACAAACATACTTTTATAAGCTGCTCAATGTCATGATGCCAGAGTTTTCTAATGACATGTAGCTTTTGTGACAAGGATTTAACAGCTGGTTTGATATCATGATAAATATCACACATATCCAACAGGTGTGTATCAATCTGAATGCATGAAAACATTATTAGTGTACTTACTACTATTACTATAATTACTGCGTAGAGTAAAAAGTAAGTATTTCTGTCTCTCTCCTTTTGCATACTTGCACAGAGGCAGTCAGGCGATATTCAATATGCAATCAAATAATAAATGAGTTTATTGATATCCATTGATGTCTATATAAAGCATTGTGAGATCACAAAAAGCTTGATGAAGACTAAATGTATTCAAAAATCATGCAGTTTGTGGGGATAGGTTAAGTGACTAATCTAAATTGCCCATAAGTGTGAATGCAGGAGGGAATGTGAGTGCAAATGGTTGTCTCTCTCTCTCTGTGTGTTAGCCCTGCGACAGACTGGCGACCTGTCCAGGGTGTACCCCGCCTCTCGCCCTATGACAGCTGGGATAGGCTCTAGTGCCCCCCACAACCCTGAAAAGGATGAGCAGAAGCGAATGGATGGATGGATGGTATTCAAAAATCCATCTATAAACCAAAGGTCCAAATTATGTTATTTAATTTATTTTAAAATTTGTATTTACTTCAACTTTACTGGCTGCTATAGCAGAGTCACATATCTCTGTCTGGGTTGACTACATAGAGAGGATCCTTCTGAGAGGGAGAGTTCAATCTGTCTTTGTTTACTGGAGCAGCTCAGGAGTTTCTATTTGGTCCTTCCTGTTAGAGATCTGATTCACCCTGTTTGATTAATCATTATGCTGATATAGCTTTGTGGTACCATAAACATAAATTACACATCAGCTCAGTTCATTGGAATTTGATGTATTTTTCTGGCTCATTTTTAGTGTTATTGTTTAGAGTGGGGTGAAAACACCCTCTCAGGCAGCTATAAAAGAAAGCAGCTCCAACTCTCTGCAGAAATCTGAACATCCTGTACAAAGAAGCTTCAGCAGCTCCTCATCACACTTTGAGACTTAAAGCTCCAACATGATCTTGCTCCTCTTCCTGTTACAACTCTGACCTTCCATATTTGTTTAATCATTATACTGAAAAGGACTTCGATAACATCATAAATGCAGAATTACAGCAAATACAGTCACGTTCTTCTGAGTCTTCCAGGAGGACGTGGCTGTTCAGCAATTATTAATTTCTTTACAATCTGATGGTGTTTACTGGCCGGTGTTAGTGATGTTTACAGTGGAGAGTTTTGTTCCATTTGGCCAATGATATCACAGTGATCAGTGAAAACA